GGGAGAAAGAGCCAGCAAAAGAAACAGCCGAGGAAGAAAATAATCACCAAACACAAACTGAATTAGATCCCATCACTAAATTTCAGCAACGCCAAGCCCAAGCAAACAGTCATGCAAAACCAAACTCTGAGCCAGCAGTTAATAATTCCGCAACTAGTTAACACCGTTCAACAATTAAGCACTAGTTTACAAGCGCTGCAACCGCTTAATTCCGATCAGCCAACGATCCAACTAATTACTTACATCCTAATTGCCACGGCCATTGTGGGCATCTTTGTTTATCACTATATTAAAAATCAAGAAAATGGGACTAACTAACTGACTACCCAACTTCCAAGAGGCTCTGAACAACTTTTATGATGAACGCTTAAAGAATGCTCTGGAAAGCAAAAGCACCGAATATAAAACCCTTTTTCAAGAACACCTAACTCATTGAAAAAATACTCAAAAGGCTCTGATTGCCATTGCCCTTGGTATCTTTTTTTTATTACTGATTGCTGCTTTTTGAAAAGATTAAAATGGATTAATAAGCATTATGAAAAGCCGAAATAAAAAATTAGTCGAGGATCAAGAATTAAAAGAACTGGTGCTAAAGCTAAAAAAACAAAAAACCCCAACTTGGGAAGAGTTAAAAAAACAAGGAAATTGAGAAGTAAGTTGCTCAGCGGAAGATATTTGAGGTAAGAGTAAGAAAAAGTAAATGGAAAGATATTTTGAACATCTAATAAACTTGGTCTACCGCGAATTTTATCCGAAAGTAACAAGCTTTTATGGAAAATCCCTACCCTTCGCTTCTTCTTATATCAAGTTTGGTGGCTTTGAAATCAGCTTACATGGCTATGGTCGCACTAGTTTAGCTTATGAAGAAGTAGGGTCGGTCAAAATTATTGCTAAGGTTGTTCACTTCCACACTGGTTTTCTTTTATACTTAACTGGTTGAGAAAACCATGATTTTGCTTTTCACTTACATCATTTTGTTGATACTATTGCTCATGAATTAGCTCATTGCTTTCGAGCTGACTTTGATCCAACCAAAGTTCGAGAACATGATGAAGAGCATAAATTGTTAAAGAAAAAAATTGCGGAATACTTGTGAACCCTACCCGAAATAAAAACCTTAACTAACTTACAAAAGAACAAAAAATTTTTAGATTAATTAACTAACCTAATCCTTTTAATCAATCAGTTTTAACACCTAATTTTATCACTAAACAACCCTCACCCACCCTCCACCTTAATCTCACCTAATTATCAACTAGCAAAATCACACCTAAAAATAGGAACCAGAATCAAG